GGACGCTCGCACGGACGCACGGACGATCATGCGATTCTACAAGCTGCATCTGACTATGTCAGATGAGCTAAAAACTAAAGAATACATTACAAAATAGTAAAATTACATTACAATATTATGAGTAGATCTCCCTTAATGTATCAGCATTACCTACATACATTCCTGAAACTTACTATTGTTTGCATAACTTACTGTGGGGAAACATGCACGTACATACACTGCACATGCACTGAAAATGTGCATATGTAATTTTGGGAGTTATTATTTATGATAAAATTCGTGTAAAACCTTCCCTAACCACAACAGTTACATTGGCACCAATTAGTTTTATTCTGTGCAGACAGCATTCATGTACAGCATGTACCATTCACGTACAGTGTGCTGCTGCTGCTGCTGCTGCTGCTGCTGCCCTGGCCCTGTGGTAACTCGACAGATGGATTGCTTTGACCTTGCATTCGACAAGCCTACCCAACCGCTCCCAAGTGCTGATGTTTATTTTACTTTCATGCCTGCTCTACTTTTAATGTGGCACACTTCACCAGCTTAGACAACAGCATACATAATTGCTGCAAAAGGCAAGCCTTGAAATGAGAATGTGTGCCCAGGCATTGCAGCAGCTTTGTATTGCCAGAGGCTATTTCAATGAGTCTATCTCCCTTACCGGCTACCAACATTACAAGCTGTGTGAGGATTGCCTTAAATTTCATTGCCCAAGCTACGATTCTCAATATGGCACTGAGCAGCTACTGGTAAACCCACGAGGGACCACAAGTGCTAAACTACCTTCTGTATCCGTTGGAATGATCACAGGTGGCAGCTGATTCGGACCATCGGGGATAAGACTCTGCAATCGATTATTCCCCGTTCCAGCAATCGTCTGGATGATTCGCTTTGGCACGCCCTGCCGTGGCGAATTGTCGCCTGAAACCAGAAAACTCACGCATTTACAATCACTCACAAGTGCACTCAATGTGAGAACCAGTGCTCTCAAATTCATCTGACATTTGACTGGTCATTTGGTGAGCATACTGAATGGCAAGTCCTTCCACATCTTGACTCGTGTTAATATTATAATACTGGAGAAGCTTTGGAAGCATTCAAGTAATTATCTCAAAATGTTAAAAAAAAATTCATATCGCTAATCAATATGACATTAGTAACAACAGAGGCTTATAGTAACGTTACAAGGCCACAGATTGCATGTAATTGTTATAATGGCACCAAAATTTAAAGTGAACAAAAACCTTTATGAACCTTGAATTTCTCCGATTAAAGTGATGTGATAATAAATTTATAGCAAATTTGCAACTGCCTCAGAGATCACATCAATAATTGTGTGGAAGTTTTTTTACACCCAGACCAATTTTATGATAAGAAAGTTCTACAATAAATTTGTCAGTATGAGGAGGAATGAGGAGGAGGGGAGAGGAAGTAAAGGAGAAGGGGGAGTTGGAGGAGGAGAAGGAGCAGGGAAGGAGAAGGAAGAGGCTAAGTAGAATGAGGAGAGTGGTGTCGAAATTAAACTTAAAAATTATCTATTCCTGACTAAAAAATGACAAATTTTTCTACCAATGCAAATTTGCATTCGTTTTCGTAGCACCAGGTAAAAAGCTCAAGTAACATCTCTTATGCTGCTGGCATCAAAAATGCTGCTGTGTCTTTCTTGTTCAATTGTGTTGTATCTCTCTTAATGCATAAATTAGAGTAGATATTATTGCCTCACATCACTCTTACTCCGATAAATTAGAGGACGCAGATATGTGTAACTCAACCACTGCCTTTATTCCTGGAATCCCCCCGAGTCCTCTCTTCCCGCCAAAACGATAAATCAACAATAGAACATTACATCTCTTCTTTTCTTTAAAGGAACAGGCAAGAACCTGCAAGCAATCCTTTTCCCTTACTACATGTCGAACTAAATTAACTTAGTTCCTGGTAACACAGCTGTGGAACAACTAATCTCAAGACTGGATCTCAACACAATAGAAACGAATTTACTGCCATTACATAGTCAGAAGTACGGGTTGCAGGTAGCTCTGCTTTTGCCCTGGGAGCATCTACGATACTGGGTTGTCAAAGAAGTTGTGGCCATCGTGAGACGTTCTTCAGATGAAATGCGATGAACATCTGGGATCTTAATTAGTTGTGGACAGCATCAGTGAGCATCACTGTCTGAACTACTATTGGCTCCAGTTCATCATGGTAAGCATGGCGTGACGCGCCGGGTACCTTTTGACCTATCCGTCTGTTGATGGGAGTACGGCATTCGCACCGTATTTTTCTACATGAGTAGTTTCCTAGAAGATTGCAGACCATTCGGCAGCTCCAATACAAGATTTACCAAATTTTGCTTACGACAGTGTGGGGGACGGACTCGATGGTGTTGAAACGCTTATTGGTTTTCTCGTTCCCTGACCAGAACTCTTCTCACCAACATTCACGCCAGAGTAGTGGCCGTTGCGCGTTCGTTCAGCGATAGACTGTTTCGTTGTCTTTCTGTTTCGCATCCGATCGCGTCGTCCAGATCACATCGACTGTCTGCTTGGAAATCTGGTTAATTTCCCTCTCACTTTACGATTAACAGAGTTAAGGGGACTGTTCTGTAGTATGATGGTTCACATGCTACGGTATTCCGTCACATATTCCCTGATGTTCTCTTTTCCCAGTCTAACCCTTCTGCTGGCGACGATTCTCTTGATCGTGACTGATTCTGGCGGTTCTTTTCTAACTCCCTCGCATTTGCTTGCGCCCCTTTGCGAGTAACCTGAGGCCGGTGACCCTGTTGATCACATATCGCTGCGAACTCTTTCAGGAAACGAAACTGTGTATTATCCGGACTTTGATAGTGATAGGGAGTCCATGACGATGAATATTGCGTCCAAACTATCGGATTATCTTTACAAGAGGTAGAGTTTAGGTGACTCGCTATTCTAAAGGGGCGCTATATGTCATGACAGTATCGATGTGCCGGATGGGAAATGGTCCCAGCAAGTCGATAGCGACATCTGCCAGGGCATCGGTAGCGTTGTTGGTCTCAGCGGTCGGGGTGGATCTGGGCGTGCGCGAGCCTAACTGACAACCCATGGACAGCGATTTACAATGACTTCCGGCAGCGTGCTATCAATGCCTGGCCACCATTTGCTTCTTAGGATTCTGTTTGTCCCCACAGACTATGCGCTTGTGGTCGTACTTACTGGCTAATACAATCGAGTACTGGCGTTAGCACAACTGTCATCACGCATAATTCGTGCCACTATTGGTGCGCGCGTTAGCATTTCTCAAATCGACCCGTCTTTATGCTTCTCGTGATCGTTAGTCGGGGGCGTCGCTGCGGCATGTGGTTCTCTCAGTGTAGTTCAATGCTCTGGTTGGTGGTCGCATTGTTGGCATACAAAACGCACGATTCCTCTGGCGGGCATTCACCCGGCGCCACGCGGCACCCGCGTGCGCGCGCAGGGCCGACGCAGCATGTACGATTGCCTGGTGCACCTGGCCTTACCACTTAGAAGTCGTGACATGAATGGGATTTCTTTGGTCCTGGTATACACTACTTGAACGTTAGGGTACGGTTTGGAGACGTAGCATCTTCAATTCGCGCACACGGCTGGAACGCGGGCTGTAGAGGAGCCTCTAATGGTTTAGTGAGTCCGTCCACTATCAAATTCCTCCCATAGAAATGTGGGGTAGTAGGGGGGGTATGCATGAAATCTCTCGATGCCAGAACTTAACCGGTTCGCTCTTGTCTGTGCATATCGACGTTCCAGGTCGCTCAATTACGACTCGCATAAATACTTGGTACGGAATTCCTTCTGTTCGGGTACTTAGGCACAGCCACTAGACAATGGACTAGCTCGGCTAGGACTTTAGTGGGGCATCGTTGATCAAAGTAAGCAACGTTATTGCTCTTTTGCGGAATGTCCTTCAATAGCCTGGATGATGCTTTCTGCGTTCGGACCAAAGTGAATGGTAATCGGGACGAGTCAGTTTCCTGCAGTTGGCTCGAAAATGTCGCGACTGCGTAGGTAAGCTTGCGCATATAAGACACATAGACCTAAAGTTCGCACCTCTTGATGCCACTCGCTGGCTTCGCGGATTCCGATCACAGGCTGTTACCGCTGTCTCGTAGGACTGCCTGCCGGATAGTGTACCGATGAGTGACAAGCTGAGCCATGATCAATTGAATGTGGCGGATTCAGGGTTGTCGCTGGCACGTGAGCCGTGTTCATAACTGCTGTAGCGGTTATCATGTGTTTCTTTATCAGCGTCTTTGGTTTTTGACTATGATTGCGTCAGAGATATTTTCACCGCCCTCAATGCTGCTACGCGGTTGCTGAGCTCGTTGTGGGATATTGCTCGCTGGCGGAACAGGCACAACTAATCTTTTGGGTATAGCGATACGGCCTGAAGTGAGCTGGCGAATGTTTGGTGATTTCACGAGCATTCTGGAGACAGCTCAACTGGTGATACCCACTTTAATGCTAATCTGGTGAACACTGGGGTAGTTGGGACCCATGCATGTTTTGGCAGTTCTCGCACGGTGGGTATGGGGTATCTGCCGATAATGCTCATTTGCTCTACGGCATACGTCAAGACACAGCCTGTGTCACCTGCGCTTCGCGACGACTACGTACCGATTTACCAAGGTGTGGGACGAGGTCGCTGTTCAGTGGTCTAGATCACGAGGTATTCTTTTGATCTGTTCCATTACGGTTAGATCCCTCGAAGACTTGAATGGCGGTTGCTCAAGGTTGTGCTACTGGCGCGTACCAGTGTGAGCAATGTCGGATAATTACTTGCTAGTTTCATTTTCAACACCGTGGACACACTCGGATCGCTCGTTGGATATCACTGGCTACATGGCTTTGGACTGCATCTCAATGCAGCTTTTCAGGGACCCTAACTGTCGTTCGCGCGTATCTTACAACAACGGGGGTACACTTTCTTTTTCAGGAACTCGCTTCAGCCGGACGTTTTGCCCGGCCTTGATAACACAGTCAATTCCCTTTATGGCAAGTGGTTTATCAGAGCCATAGGGACGTTTCCTATGTGGTACGGCCACAGCTTGCACTTTATCTTTATAGTTGTATATTCCTCCGCGTTGTCGCTCGATCGTGCGATGTTACTGGTCCACCTGGTACTCCCGAACAGTTGCTAAATCCACACACAACACTGTCGTAGGGATACTGATTTACACAGGACACGCAGTGTTGCATGTTAATTACGGCGGTGCATTAGGGATTTCACTAACTATTCCCGGACCTAGACTTTGTCTAACACTTTAGAACTGATGCTGTTCCTGTTGCAGTTCTACATGACTGGACCTTTTGCTTGGACATGGTTCGGGATCGTGCCAAAATGACGCAGTCGAATCGCTCTTATAACATGCTGTAGCGCTCAGTAACAGTCGTATTATCGGATTGACTCGCTGCTCTCCGCTTGTCTGGTGCTTCCAGGGTCACTCGGTACGTTTCTGTTACAGGTTTCGCCGCTATTTTGCGCGTCGAAGTGCGCCATTTGGCCTCCCCATGCTCGCACTGGTCTGTCCTTGCATGGCACGCGAGGCTGATGTGCATGCCTGGCCTTCTTTTCCGAGCAGGCTTCTACTAACGTAATCCGAGAGCACTTGCATCAGACACACTGTACTGTGATTGAGTCGCAATTATCGCTGCCAATTAAGTCGGCTCGCCGCCTTCCTCAGACCGCTGTGACGATATTGTTGCCACGTTCACTGGTTTCTGAGTGTTCGGGATGGCAATGTCTTAGTCTCGCAAACGCTGAATTTACTTGGGCCGAATAACGGTGTCAATTGCCGTCCTGCGTGTATAGTCCGTGGACTCTCGGGTGAGCTTGGTAAGGTAGAACACGGCCTGGCACTCAAGGTCTGGCAGAGTGCAGTAGGTGGTCTTCGTCCTTTGCTTGTGTATTGTCCGTATTTCGTTTACGATTCGAGACGTTTCCATCAGGTACAGTTCGACGCTTGTCAGCGCTGGCGGTCCAGCGTGGACCGCACGGTGAGGCTCAGAGTTAGAGTAACGTCGGTTTTATTTATCTCATTCCAGATCATTTCCTTCACCAATAGTAGTTTCCTCTTCGCAGTGTTGGCGATCGTCTTTGAATGATAAGTTAGAGGTAGTATTATTGTCCGTCCAATCATCTCTTATACTCGATTCACTCCGCATTAGCTCACTGTACTCGGTAATTAGAGGACGAGTTGTGTGAAGCCCTGGTCGTCCGTGTTGCAACTTGTGTTTGCAACTCGAGCAACACTCGAGTTTGAGCAAACGTCAGGCAGACTCGATGCACTCCGAGTGTCACTGTGGATGTTTTAATTTTAACAGCGCGGCGCCACGCTGCCCGGCCTCCGCGTCCCTGCCCTGAAGCTCCCCCCTCCGGCGAGCAGCGCCCCCGGGCGGTGGGCCGTTCGCGCTGCCCCTGCGCGCCCGCTGCCTCGTCGCCCCGCCCGCCTTCCGGCCTCGGAGAGGCCGGGGGATTGAGCTAAGCAAGAGGAGCCCGCTGACTGTGAATTTCAATGTTCATGGGCCATGTTTGTCTATCTGCAGGACTCAATGACTAAACTGTTGTTAGATTGGCGGCTGAGTTATCAAACTGCAGCAAATCGAGAATAGTTGGCTCAGAAGTGTGGCACGGGTAGTTCTGCAAGACAGTCTTGCAAATAGGTTCTGCCGAGAGTTTGAGCGCAATCTGGTCTACTCACTGCTGCCACTTGGAAAACTTTTCTTGGCAAACTCGGAGTTTGCTCGAGTTTGCTCGAGTTTGCAAACTAAAGTTTGCTAGTGTAGACAGGGCTTTACTCCGATAAATTAGAGGACGCAGATATGTGTAACTCAACCACTGCCTTTATTCCTGGAATCCCCCCCCGAGTCCTCTCTTCCCGCCAAAACGATAAATCAACAATAGAACATTACAAATTGGACTTACTGAACCTATATCAGGCCAAATTTGTAGCACTTCTTAGTAACGGAATATCTAACAGGAAACACTATATTTTTCCCAGAGATTTTTACAATTCTAATTATGAAAATTATTTACTTAAAAATAAATGAGCCCAGAGAAATGCATACACTGATGAGTACTCGGGCATAAACATGAATGTCACCCATGGAAATCACCTGGAGGTGTAATAGGGGACACGACGCGCTTCTGCACGCGCCCATGTCCTGCTAATCTGCGAAGTGGACGATGGTCACTTCCACCATCTAGCTCAGTAAGATCACCTCCCGGCCGGATACCATCTGAGAACATAACCTGCTTCCTCTCACCAGGGCGCTTTGTTGAGCCTGCATGTGAAGACATGTTTAAACTTAAAACCTGCACCGTGAACAGGCAATAATAAGCTCTCTAACATATCTGTGTAAAACAGTAGCGAACTGAACAAGAAGGTCGAATAAGGCTAGACATTTTATAGACTTGTTAAGCTTTATTTGTTCTGCAGGGCTATTGGACACCGACAATGTCACTAACGTGTGAATATAAAATTCTAGATACGGCTTGATTTCGTATCAGTTTTCAACTGCGATGCACAGTGGTACCTTTTAGTTTTTATACATTCTGATCATAAAAACAGTACTGTCAAAATTCGTTTTTGAGCACATAAAATGGGGAGAACATTTTGTATTAAAATAAATTCTTTAACTTTCCTTCCCCCGACTTAAAATTCTTTAAAGAAAAATTAAACAAATAACAGGATAGACAGGTAGGATTGCTGAACCCCTGTATTTGCATATATAACTGTGTTTAAATTTCAGTGTTTGCACATGTATGCTTGTGTGCCTCTGGGATTAAGAGAATGAGATGGGTTAACAACAGAATGAATGGAATTGACTAGGGAGCTGCATGGGGTTAAATATAACCATTAAGTTAGATAGGGTTGACATGGCAGTTAGAAGGAATTACCTGGATAGTTAGACAGGTTTGACATGGAAGTTAGACAGGATTCTCTGGGTAGTTAGATAGGGTTGAAATGGAAGTTTGGTAGGATAACATGAGTAGTAGGTAGGATTGACATAGAAGTTAGATGGAACTACCTAGGGAGTTAGATAAGGTTGACATGGAAGTTAGATGAAACTACCTAGGTAGTTAGATAGGGTTTACATGGAAGTTAGATGAAACTACCTAGGTAGTTAGATAGGGTTTACATGGAAGTTAGA